GATTTCGGACTTTTTCATGCTCAAAGGGGATATCGTAAAATTTATGATTCTCAAAGGGTCATTCGTTTTCAAAGAGTTCAATCGGAGACCTCGTGCCGAGGCCTGATTGGTAATGATCTTTTCTGAGCCTTAGTGATTCATAAGAGCCAGCTTAATCATTGACTTCTTGTCAGCACGTTTCACCCCTCTTACCACTATGGCAAAAAAATGCGTAATATTGTACGTATCTTTAGCGTGCCTTCCAAAAGTTCAAGCTTATCAGAACCTAGCTTATCAGAGAACGAGTTCTGAAAGGCGTTTGGCTATAGGAATAGGTTTCAGAAGGTACTATATGATAATGAAATTCTTGGAAACTAAAATCATTTCGAACACATGTGCCTTTGATATATCCTTAATTAATTTTAACATTTGTTAGGGCTTCAGCAGACCCTTTTTTCCCTGAAGACTGCTTTTTAACATTCATAATTCGCTTTATAATATTTATCCGAAGTATGTGGATGTGTGTATGAGATGAGTGTGAATTTTTAAGATATAAATGAAGAAGCTTTATTTGTTTTATGCTTTTATTGAATTTGCATTTATTCTTGGCTAAATCAGCTTGAACTTTGTTTAGCATTTAAAGGTAATCAAAACGACGATGGCGATTGCAGTTCTGGAACGTCTTTTGCAACTCTACTTAGTTAAAAAAAAATAATTGTCTGACTTGCGCCATTTGCTTAAGGATGCTGATTTCTTTCTCGCCCTGCCCTTCTTACCTTTTCCTTTTCCTGTAAGATGTTTAATTGTATATCATCTAAAGAATGTAGTACTATGTTTATTGTATCTAAATACAATAAGAACTACTTCTCACTTCTGTACTTATTTTAATGGTCACTTAATAAATGCAATTACTTTGACGGCTGATAAGTTCGCGCCTTTTATGTTAAATTCAAAAGTTTCCAAGAAAAATTTCGCTCTTTGTTTCATTATTTGGAGGGGTTGGAATGGAAGTCAAACAAACAAAGAAAAATTGATCTGGCGCCTTTGTTTTCTAAAAACTTCATTTTTCTAAAGTTTCCGTAGGGCCATTAGTGCCAATTACGGAAATCGTCTTTATACCCTACAATGAGGCACTGCTATAGGAACAGTTGATACACGATGAAAGGTCAAAACCCAGACCAACTTGTATCTAACCAATCTGCCTGATGTCTGACTAAGTTATTTGACATCCTTACCTGGGAATCAAATCTACGCACATTATTACGGTATCATGCCTTGGGGCAGGTACTCTCTTTACTGTATTGTAATTCTATGATACTTTCCTATGGAGCTACAACAGTAAAGAGAGTACCTGCCTAAAAGCAAAATTTTGTATGATTTTGCGCCTTTTGTGTGGTAGGCCGTTGTGCGCAGTGAATGGACTTTCGTGGCGTGTCGCATAACCCTATTGGACAATTTTTTAGGCAGATAACGGTTTAGATTCCTTTACAAACACTACATCCTTATTATTGCGTTATGGCGAAAAATTAGAATAATTATAGTAAGCAGCATGTATCACAACTTTGATATACAAAGTTTAAGCGATTTATGGTTTTGGGATTTGAAAGAAAGTTGTTGATCAGAATTTTTACTCGCTTGTTCCACTTAGCCACAGTGAGCAAACCAAAATTACTGGCAAAGTTGGTTTGTATCCTTGTAGAGGGAGGAAAACGGCAACCTTTTGATTTTATCGTGTTCGAAAACTCGGCATTTACAAGAAAATTGCCTTATTTGCCTTCTAAGTTTGTTACCAGTTTGATTGTTATTAAACGTTGCAAGCAGCCATCAGAGTCCCACTTTTTCAAAGTTTGACCGGAATTGGGAAGATTTTCCAGAAAGATCGTATATAAACGTTGAACTACATACTTTAAAATTTTAAATAGCCCGTTCATTCATGAAGCAACAGCATTATTTTCATTAGTTACTGTCTCTCGTTAGTACCAGCCACGAAGATGTTGGACTGCAGCAGCGATGTTTGCACTGTACCCATACATTACTACCAGTTGAGATTTTTGGTCCATCCGCACGGAAGTATTTCAGCGCATCTGGTCGCCTTTTCCAAAGAAGTTTTGCTATACATTATAGAGCAGTGCCATTGTTTATCCTTCTCATCATGGTCTTCTCATCGATGTTCCGCTCTGAAGACGTATTCGCGAAGGGACATAGATTTTGTATTCCGACTTCAAGGTGCGTCGGTCGAACCTTAGAAGACGTCGTTTTGTTTTATGGGTGATTAAGAGCCTCGACATGGCCACAGTATCAGGCGCGTCTCTGCTGCGTAATAGAGCACCGGTAGAACGGTAAAATCAAAGTGCAGAGCTCTGGGTCCTTCAGCAGGTCTGTAATTTCCTCTAAAGGCCTAAATGATTTAAGTTGCGCTTCGTTTTTGCTCCATTCTCTCCCTTCAAACGTTCTTCAACTCATCAAACTCCGAGATATATATAGGACGCCTTGCGTTTCAAAAGACATCCAAATACATATTCTGGTCCTTGCAAATGGCGTTTTTTTTACAGAATTTCTCCGATCAATTTGCGATCTTATCCTCTTTTCTTTACTTTTAGTGATATTTTTGATTAGAAAAAACAATGTTGTCAAAACGAATATTCAAATGGATTTTTCACTCAGTTGGTGTATCTCTCTCATTATAATCCATCGACAAGGGTCGCCTTGTCAAACTCCCTTCGAAATTGGTATGCTAAGGGGGCGATGAAAATCTGTACCGTGTAGAGCAGTTCTTGTAGCAGTCGGCCAACGCTCACACGTAGAACGGGTCCACTACTTGGTCGACGACCTCTGACGGTGGATTTTAGTCTCGAGAATGTCGAACGCTTTTCATAGTCGACAGAGGCTAGGATGAGAGGCAGGCAATATTCTCCACAATTCTCGAAAACCTTAGAATATGGTGTAGCCATTGCACTCCTTGGAAAACAAATCTTTGGTTGTGCGCCAATGAAGATGAGTGACAGTGAGGAGTGACACAGGTGTTGATGAAAAACGTTGGTGAAGAACGTCCTTATGAATGATTTCTCACGCCGATAAGGTGTGCGGGGATGATGTGATGTGACGGTAGCCAAGAAAGTTATTGCGTAATTCTCCAGACTTCTCCTTCCTTGCTTGCGCTTTCCTCTGATAGTTTTTTGCTTGTATCTTCGAAATCTCCCTGCAAAGCTGTTCTGCAATTGAAATTAACTGCCAGCCGCTTAAGATATGACTTAGTTGGATCCAGACTCTTGGGGCTTTCGAAATCGTTGAGTGGCTCTCATTTCTACCGCTTTTCTTTCTTCCGTATGAAGTAAGTGTTCATAAAAAGTTCGTGAATAAGAACCCCATTAGACGCTTACCAATCTCCTTCGTCGATACGAATTTCTTCATCCTGTACACCCCTTCTTCTGGCCGATTTACTCATTAAAGTCAATCAACACAAATTTGCAGAAAGTATTTTCTTTACGGCTAACTTCCTCCAAAACCTCGTGAAAAATTGTTTCCGATTCATAGACTACTGATGTTGGGAATTAGCAGCTGATGATAGTGATGTTCTTCTGGTGCAGAAGGCGGAGTCGAATGATGGCCAGGCAATAAGATCTCGAGAGGACTTAAAAGATGAATGATAGATGAGCTTGTGATGGAAGCTTCTTACCATGAATAATGCGCCTCACTCAACTGTCCAACATCCGTCTTCCTGGACTTCGTCTCCCATGAGGGGACCACGGGTAGTTGATACACCCGAGCGGGCGGTGGGCGCAAACGTCGGCATTGCCGTGGCGTTGTAATTGCAGAGGATAAAAAAAA